CCTTTAGCTGTTGCACCCAAAGCTGGTGCTCTACCACTTGAGCCACACCTCTGCTTCCAGTTTTTTGCTGGTTAATTGGAGATAAGAGTCTCATGAACTTTCCTGCCTAGTCTGGCTTTGAACACTGATCCTCGCACCTCAGCCTCATGAATAGCTAGAATTACAGGCATGAGCTACTTGGTACCTAGCAACAATGTCTTTTTAAATTTTTTTTAAAAAATTTGCCAGTCCTGGGGCTTGAGCTCAGGGCCTAGGCACTATCCCTGAGCTTCTTTGGCTCGAGGCTAGCATCTACCACTTTGAGCCACAGCGCCACTTCTGGACTTTTCTGTGTATGTGGTACTGAGGAATGGAACCCAGGGCTTCATGCATGCTAGGCAACTAGTCTACCACTGAGCCACCTTCCCAGCCAACAATGTCTTTCTTAACCCACATACTTCTAGCACCTCTGCTCCACATTTAAGACCAATACTGCACCATTCACCTGGGGACCCGGGGAGGGGGCCCCCCACCCAGGAACCATATTCTTCTTCCTTTAGACTTCTGGGCAATTTCCTGACCATTTTAAATGGCTCTCAATTAACCTTTGGGCTTAAGGTACTGGACTCAAGTCCAGAACTGCCGCACCTCAGGACTTGAACCCGTGATGAAAGGTTGGCTTGGTGGTGAGCCAGCCTGCTACATGAGAAGGAGTTTTCCCCGCGGATTGAAATATCCAAGACAACAGATGCACACTCATGGTGACCCCCTGGGGTAAGCAAGGCTGAGACTCTTAACCTAGAGGAGGTGTGTGTGTGTGCGTGTGTGCGTGTGTGCGTGCGTGCGTGCATGCGTGCGTGCGCGCGCTGGTCCTGGACCTTGAACTCATGCCTGGGTGCTGTCTTTGAGCTTTTTCTGCTCAAAGCTAATGCTCTACCACTTGAGCCACAGCTCCACTTCCAGCATTTTTTTTTTCTATTTTGGTGGTTAATTGGAGATAACAGTCTCACAGAGTTTCTTGCCCTAGCTGGCTTTGAACCATGATCCTCAGATCCTCAGCCTCTTCCTAAGTAGCTAGGATTACAGGTGTGAGCCACCAGTGCCCCGCCACTCAAGAGTGGGTCTTGCGAGGGCTTCTTTATACCAAGTGTGCCTCTTTCCTCCTCACGCCCCCCCCCAAAATTCCCATTCACCCCTTTTCTTCAAACAGTCTCCAACTGCATGTGGCCTCAATTTCGGCTCCAGCTTCTGATCTACATCTGAATGAACAAAACAGCCTGGCAATTGGTGCCAGCCAAGGATCTCTGAGCTTTTCTGCCAAGCTGATCGCGCGCCTGGGTACACAGTGTGCCCAGCGGGGTATTGGAGAAAGACTGCGCACGGCCTGAAGGTAAAAAGTACATGAATTAAAAAAAAAAAAAAAAAAAGTCCATGAATTCAATCCTTATTAGGAAGAGCAGCGCGGGGGCGGGACAAGTGCCTCTGCCTGTTGCCTAGCAACAACCCCATCACGAAGCCAACCTCCCCGCCTCTCCAGCCCAGGGCACCGCCTCAAGGCCTCCTGGGGGGAAGGCACCACAGGGATGAACCCAAGAGGACAGAGGAGCGGAACACACCCCAAGAGGGCCCCCCCTCCACCCTCTTTTCTACTCTAGGAAACTATGCAAGATTTTATTGTACTAGGGAGGCTCGGGACATCCCTCTCTTTCCTACCTTCCCCTACATTTCTCATTAGCCAGCAACTTTCCAAGGCAGGCCTACTGGCCATGGAAATTGAGCCAGACCACACACACACACACACACACACACACACACCCCGGGTGGCTAGCTAGCCAGTATTACTGGCCATGGAAATTGAGCCAGACCACACACACACACACACACACACACACACACACACACACACCCCGGGTAGCTAGCTAGCCAGTATTTCCAACAGACGCAAAAATAAAATAAAGTTCAGCTCAAGCTTCCAAGTCCAGCATGGGGCCCTGTTCAGCAAAGCCAAGGCCCTGTGGCTAGCCCAGAGGAAGCACCAGATGGCCAGGCTGTGGGTGGTGATCAGGTGTCACCTCAAAGAGAACAGTGCCCTCTGCTGGTAGCATCCTGCAGGGTCAAGTCACTGGCTTTCAGCGGGTCATCTGAGTGCCAATCAATCCACCCAGAACATCTTTAGCGTGGGTGAGTTTAAGGAATGATGGAAAGGGACAGAAGGGGGCGGGGGGCAGGAAGGAAGGCAGACAAGGCTCAAAAGACTGGTTCAGGAAGAAAGTAACCCTACATTAGGGTTCTTTCCCCACTCTGACAAGGTGGACCAGAGAAACTTCTTATTTCTTCAGAGGGAGTTGGGGGGGGCGTGGAAATAATCTAACTGAAAACCAAAGTTTAGTTTTATGGGAGAATGGCTGACACCCACTACTTCACCCCCAACTCAAGCTGGCTCACTCTGTTTGAAATGTTACCATCTACCCTCAGAGGATGTTAAAAAGGAGTTTCTAAGAATATCCTAATGGGAGAATGCAAGGCTGGGGGAGGGGGTGGAGCAGGCAGAGGCAAAAAGGGAGAAATGAATCGTTTTGATCCAGAATGGGCTTCCAAGGGCTTCTATGGCTGAGGAACTGGGAATCCGGGCACCGCCTGCAGCGTTCAAAGGAAAGAAGGAAAGCATAATGTTAGAACCCGCAATGGCTCTGCAGGAACCCCATATGTTTTCTATTTTAAAGAGGGGGGAAAAAAGGGAAAAAGGCACAATGTGAGCATTGTTCTTTTCTCAATGGCATGACTGTTAGAACTCATGCTTTGGGTATGAATGCAACCATTGAAAATCCCCAATCAGTTACACTAAGTGACAACAAGCCCCGAAGCAGAGATTTCTCACTTGGGGGGTCAGTTGGCTTTACACACACACACACACCTTTTAATAGGCCCCACTGCCAAAAGTAACCAGAACCATTGCAAAACAATATTCTTTTTTGTTGTTGTATTGTGCTGGTCCTGGGCCTTGAACTCAGTGCCTGGGCACTGTCCCCGAGGATTTTTGTTTTGTTTTGTTTTGTCCTAAAGACTAGTACTCTACTACCTGAGCCATAGCTCAACTTCAGACTTTTTTTTTTTTTTTTAGTGGTTCCTTGGAAATAAGAGGTCTCATGGACTTCCCTTCCAGGGCCAGCTTGGAACTGCGATCCTCATATTTCAGCTTCCTGAGTACTAGGATCGTAGGTGCCCAGCTTCAAACAATATTCTTGTCCTTGTTGCCACCAACAATACTGATGCAGATTTTCACATGGACACCTAAAAACATGACTTCACGTCCATAGGGCTGATAGACAAATGGAGGGGGTGTTTGTTCTGATCACCCCAAGATCAGCCTCTCTGGTGTACAGGACATTGCAGCTGTTTCCGGGTTCACAGCCCCCCCGTGCAAGGTCTCTGGGCATCCACCCTCAGCAGCCTTTCTCAGGCCAGCAATCAGTGCAATTTCTGAAGAACTGGATAAACTCAGTTTGGCTTGTTAGGGACTGTGTGTGTGTGTGTGTTACTAGGGATTGAACTCATAGCTTCGTGCTTGCTAAGCAAATGCATTATTGTGTGAACTATGGTTCCAACTTGGATTTGATTTGGAGAATGGGGTGTGTGGCTCACTAGGTTATACAGTGTGGCCTAGGTTATACTGGAATTTACAGTATTGAGCAAATTCCTCCACCTCTGCTTCCAAAGTATTGGGACTACAGGACCTACCCAAGCTACTGTCTCACTTCAAGACTTAAAAGCAGAGTTCCCATAAACTGAAAAATAGGTACAGCTAGGCACAAATGGCTTTTTTTTTTGCTGGTCATGGGGCCTGAACTCTGGGCCAGGGCGCTGTCTCTCAGCTCTTCAGGACAAGGCTAGTGCTCTACCACTCGAGCCACAGCACCACTTCTGGCTTTTTCTGCTTATGTGGTGCTGAGGAATCAAACCCAGGGCTTCTTGCATGCAAGGCAAGTGCTCTACCACTGAACCACCTTCCCAGCCCCCCAGATGGCTATAATTCTATCATTTTAGCTGCTCAGGAGCCTGAGATCTAAGTGTGAAGTTTCAGAGTCAAACAAGGTAGACAAATAGACAAGACTCTGATGTCCAAAATAATCAGCAAAAAAAAAAGCCAGAAGTGGAGACTTGGCTCAAGTGGTAAAGTGCCAGCCATGATTGGATACAGAAAAGAAAGCTAAGTGAGAGCTTTAGGACCTGAGTCCAAGCCCCAATAAGGGAAAAAAAAGAAAAAGAAAAAGGTACCATATACACAGAAAAAGCCAGAAGTGGTGCTGTGGCTCCAGTGGTAGAGTGCTAGCCTTGAGCAAAAGCAGCTCAGGGATATTGCCCAGGCCCTGAGTCCAAGCCCCAGGTCTGGAAAGAAAGGGGAAAAAAAGAAAGAACAGAAAAGAGAAAATAGGCAAGTGCTTTGCTGCCTAAAGCCCCTCACAGATGTCCAAAATAGTTCTCTATATAGGGTCATTCATTCTAATTACATTATCACAATTTAGTTTGGGATTGGAGATATAGCTCAGTAGAAAAGTGCTCTCCTATCACGTGTAAGGCCCTGAGTTCAATCCCCAGCACCACAGAGAATCAAAAACTGAGTTCCTGAAGTTCAGGGCTTATTTAAACCCACCAAGGAGATCTGGACAGAGCCTTAGGCTTTGTTCAGTAGTGAAGGTGGCATTGGGAGAATGATTGATCACTGTGACAGGGCAATTGGGGACCAGCCTCCCCAAGTCTCTTCTCTTTCCAAGCTGGGTTCTCCAGAATCTTCGTAGACATTTCCAGCCTGGCTTAGCATTCTGCTTAGTCCCTCTTCTGTGTGTAAGTGATACAACTGCTCTTAGAAATTTTTATTGAGGAAGTGGCGCTGTGGCTCAAGCGGTAGAGCGCTCGCCTTGAGCTGAAGAACACAGCAGGGGCAACGCCCAGGCCGAGTTCAAGCCCCACGACCAACCAAAAAAAAAAAAAAAAAGAAATTTTTATTAAAAAAAAATAATAAAAGGCCATTCTGCACCTTAAGCGGAAATGCTCCTTGGACTTGATTCCTTTCCCAAAAGCTTAATAGACGCTCCCCTCCCCCCCCCAACCTGCCCCCATCACAAAAATTGAAATACTGCAGGGTTTCTTTGTTGTTCTTTTGCTTTTTGCCAGTACTAGAGCTTGAAATCAGGGCCGGGGCACTCTCTTTAGCTTTTATTGCTTAGGACCGGTACTCTACCACTTGAGCCACCCCTCTGTTTCCAGCTTTTTTTGCTGGTTAATTGGAGATTCAGAGTCTCACAGACTTTTCCACCCAAGGTTTGGATTTTGAACCCAATTCCTCACATCTCGGCCTCTCGAGTAGCTAGGAGGATATGCTTGCACTCAGTGCCTGGCTAATACTGCAGGTTTCCCAGATCCAGGAGTTAAATTCCCCAATACTCCCCCAAGACTTGGACAAAGGCCAGGGGAGACCTGGAAGAAGGAGCATTCTGGGAAAGCCAGGTCTCCCTGTAGGGACAAATCAGGCAATAAACCAGCATGGATCCGGTGTGGCTGAGCCCCATCCCCACTCCCTGGAACTAGACAGGGGAAGCAGGAAAGGGCTTGGCAGGGGACAAACAGGACCCCGGGGGCCAGGATGGCCTGGGACAAAGGGGACGATGGCCAAGGTCAATTCTGATGGCGTCCAACTGGTCTTGCAGAAGGCGGACGCACTCATCTAGACTGCGCTGCTGGGCCAGGATGGCGGCCTTGCCTGCCAGCAGGGCACCATAGGCACTCAGCTCCTCCGTGGGCAGTGCCTGCCCCAGCACCTCGCGCAGGGCACGCTCGCGCCGGGCCACGTGATCCTTCAGCTCCTTAGCATCTTCCTGCTGGCGCTGTAAAAGCCTCAGCCGCTGCAACAAAGAGGCCTAGAAGCACACGCAGAAAACATGGGGTGTGCCACCTTGCCAGGGCCTACAAGATGGCAGGCCCCACCCCGTCCCGATCGCCACCCCCCCCAAGCTTTACTATACCCGCTCTTCTGGAGCGCCAGCGGAGCCCAACCTGTCCATGGCACAATGCACGCGGGTCAGGCGACAGCCTAGCAGCAACAGGAGGCCAAGCACGCGTTCCAGGTCAGCCAGGAACCGGGTGAACCGCTCCAGGTCCCGGGGTGCACAGGTACGGCTCACCGCAGCCTCCAGGTCTTCCCTTCGTCTAGCCCAAGCTCGGGCCAGTCCGTGTAGTCTTTCCTGCTCTGCCTGCAGGTCCACCAGCATCTTTTGGAGTAGGCTGGCCAGCTCCACCTGGAGGGAGTATCTCTAAACTCTCTGCCCTGATTTTAGGGCTCTTCCTCCTCCCCTCCCTACCTAGTCTTCTAGTCTCCCCCTGCCCCCCCATATCCCCTCCCACACTCACTTGCTTTTTGTGTCAGTGGTGGGGCTTGAACTCTGGGCCTGGGCGCTGTCCCTCAGCTCTTCAGCTCAAGGCTAACACTCTACCACTTGAACCACAGAGCCATTTCTAGCTCTTTTCTGCTTAGGTGGTGCTGAGGAATTGAACCCAGGGCTTCATGCATATGAAGCAAGCACTCTACCACTGAGCCACCTTCCCAGTCCCTCCCACACTCACTTTCTTGGCCTGGATGTTGTATTTGGATTCAGGACCTAACCCTAGGCCACATGGCTGATCAGGTACGAAAGACGAGGTGGAGTTTTCCTGTCTCGTGGCCTCCTGAGAAGCTGGCAGATGCCGGGTAAGGTTGCCCGCGTGGCATCTGTGGGCCAAATCACAGCTGCCTGAGTTGTATGATCTCCTCCCTCTCCCCTCCCCTTTCCCCGCCCTTGGAAAGCCTGAGTCCCTGAGTCCCCATGCCTCTCACTCACCCTGGCTCAGAAGCACCCTCGGTCTCTTCTCCAACCTCCTCCCAACACGCTGGCCTCATGGCAGCCCAGATCTCTGGTAAAGGAATCAACCCATCCAGCAGACCCAGGGGTGGCTCTGGGCTGGACTGGGAGGTAAAAGTGTCACTCAGAGAGGGGTCCAGTCTGGCTAGCTCTTGAACCAGTTCCTGGAGATGCGGACTAGGCCATGGTGGCTGGCCAGGACCCCTGGCCAGGGTAGTGTGGTGAGGTGAGCCTGGAAGATCATTACCTGAAGGTTCCAGGACATCAACTGGGGAGGGTTTGAGGGGGCCATTTTCTGCAGTTGCAGGGGGGTCAGAGGTCAGTAGTCCAGGAGGGTCAATGGTTGGGGTGTCACCGTTTGCAGCTTCCGGGGGGCTACAGCTTGTGGGTCTAAAGACACCCACAGAGGCATCCACCTGCTGCCAGCAGTCATCTGCGCCTACAATCTGGAGACAGGGATGGAGGGTGCGCTCTTCAGGAACTGTAGCCTGGCTAGCTCTGTGACTCAAGCCATTTCCATACTGCTGGTCAGGGGCATGCGCACTGGAAACAGAGGAGACAGCGAATGAGAAAAAGCTCAAGCCTCAGGTAAGTAGTGGCTTTTCTGTTTCCTTCCTTCCTTCCTTCCATCCTTCCTTCTTTTTTGTTGGTCATGGGGATTGTATTCAAGGCCTGGGCATTGTCCCTGAGCTTTTCTGCTCTAGGCTAACCTTCTACCACTTTGAGCCACAGCTCCACTTCCAGTTTTCCTGTCGTTAACTGGAGAGAAGAATCTCATGGACTTGCCTGCCCAAGATGGCTTCAAACCACCATCCTCCGATCTCAGCCTCCTGTGTTGCTAGGATTATAGGCGTACACCAACAGCATCTGGTTAAGGGGTGACTCTTCAAAAGCCACCTGTCCCCACCCTCAACTCCACTCTGTCTCATCCCTAGGTTTTCCAAGCTCCAGTCAAGAAGCATTTTCTTTTTCTCATACCAGTCCTGGGACTTGAACTCAGGGCCTGGGTGATGTTCCTGAGCTTCTTTTGCTCAAAGCTAGCACTGTACCACTTGAACCACAGCTCCACATCTGGCTTTTTTTGGGGAGGGGCGGGGGGATGGGCATAGTTTATTGGAAATAAGAGTCTCATGGACTTTCCTGCCCAGGCTAGCTTTGAATTGCAATCCTCAGATCTCAGCCTCTTGAGTAGCTAGGATTAAAGGCATGAGCCTCAGAGCCCAGCTCTCAGGTAGCATTTTCTAGATATGAATGTGTGAAAGCAATGTCTCACTTGGCTTAGAAGGAAGAGGGAGGGACTGGGAAGGTGGCTCAGTGGTAGAGCGCTTGCCTCTCATGCATGAGGCCCCGGGTTCGATTCCTCAGCACCACATAAGCAGAAAAAGCCAGAAGTGGTGCTGTGGCTCAAGTGGTAGAGCGCTAGCCTTGAGCTGAAGAGCTGAGGGA